GTTACAGCATCGTTAATTCACTCTTTTTTTTTTTTTCTCATTCCAAAGCGGGACGTGTCACCTTGTTTGTTAGCTCCTAATTCTCATTAACAAACACTGCAGTTCTAACACCAAACAGACAGAAATAGCTCCCTGCTGCTATATTTCTGCCCCAACACAAACATCAGAAGCTGACTGGAGATAAGAGCCAACTGGAATTATTTAATGTCTAGAGCTGTTATCGGTTTTTGCTCAATAGGAACCAAGGAACCTGTTTAGTCGAAGGGGACAGAGGGTAAATTCTTTATGCTGAAATCAAAAATAAGAAAATCTGGTCTAATTTTTAGTGCCACACTGGGCTGTAATGAGTAATGACTGTTTCCTTAGACCACCTACCTTAGCTTGAACTTCTTCAAATTTCCTCTGAAGTATATTTGCAGAACACTTTTCACTGCAATCACAGCTGAAGGCACCTCAGGGCTCAAAGACGAGGGTCTTGACCAGTTTTGGGGATTAAATTGAAGCCTCTCTGAACAGTATTTTCTCGCCACAGGTTTTCAATTCGATTTTTATCCTTTAATCAAATAGGCCTCACCATACTGGATTTTAGTCATTTTATTGTAGTTCTGAATGAATGTTTAGGGGTTCCATCTTGCCGGATGGTGGAGTCTTACAGTAAATCGCTTTGCTTCTCCATCAGGTTTTTTTTTTTCCAGGATTCCCCCATGTTTCGCTCCATTTACCCTCCCTTCTCATTCTGAACTCTCCTGCGCTGTCAAAAGACTTTCCCACCTGAGCCGCAAATCTCTCTAACTCAGTGGCAGCTGCTGCTCTATGAAACAGGGGAGGCTCAATGGTGTTAATTAAATCCGAACGTCACGTATTACATTAACACATGAAACACATCACAAGTGAAAATAGCTGTTGGAAAGCCCTTAAAAATAATAAACTCCAGAAACCAAGTTCAGCACAGGATGATTGCTCTGACTGAATGATCACTTTTCCCTCTCGACTTAAGATTGAAACCTCCTCTCTGTCTGGGGACTTTCAGTCAAAAATCCTCCAGTATGTTTGCCATCAGCATCAAGCAGCGAGCTTCATGAACTTCCCCTGCTCCATAGATCCCCTCAGAGGTTTAGCCTCACTGGAAATTATGTATTTTTGCTTCTTATCCAATCAGGGCTCTACTTTTTTCACTGCTTCCCTCAATAGACCACGCCTCAAACCTCAACAAGGATTTTTCATAGAGGCTGACCGGCAGCATCCTCCTGCCCCAGAGCGGAGGGGAGATCTGGTCCGAGACATGAAAATAAACAGCTGATTACATAATTGTGACATCAGGCGCATTTAAGCACAAATTTAATGCATTTTAATGAACACAGTTATGAAGTCTGACAAATAATTTTATGAAATTTACAGGGGAGGTTTAGGCTCCCTAGTATACAATTAGAGATTGTCACTGCTGCACCTTTGGTATCCAGTGACATGGATGCTGATAGATGCCCTCCTATCCCGGTGGTTATATGGCCATACCTTGGTAGGCTTGAAGGTCCATCTTATCCTTGATCATTTCTGATAAATTATGTTGAAGTTGCGGTTGTAAAGTGACAAACTGTTAAAAAGTTGTAGTAATAGGAAGAAACTGTGAAGCACACCATAAACATACAAGATGATAGTTATTAAAAATCAGCAAATGTAGGGTTTAAACCATCCAGTTTATCCTAAAACTACTGTATTGAGAAGTCATTATGATGCTTATTAACTATAATCCCCTATGACAGAGGTCATGGATTAGTGGACCAGAACCCACCTGCTCGCTTTCCGGACCCAACCTGATTCAAAAAATTTATAAATTACTGCATGTTGTCCAAAGACGGTATCTAAACTTCACTTGCGCCACTTCTACTGTTAATACGGTAAAGCCCTGCAGAGTGT